GGCAATGGGGTTAACAACATGTTTTCCTAAATGAAACTGTCTGGGTTGTTGTTCAGAGACTTCACTGTTGAGTGCGCAGTGTGGTATAAAGCGTAGGGAACTGCTGACAAAGAAACCAGACCGGCACCTTGGAGACCTGGGTTTTATTCTCTGATCTCCTGAAGCAAGTCTCTTCCCACCCACTCTCTGTCTCTTTCCCAGCATGACTGGAAGCTCTTGGGGTTGTGGGCTTTCTCAGTAGTTACCCGGTTTTCAACATAACAAGACCCCAAATTTTTATCAGGCTAACCACAGCACGCAAAAGACAACAAACTTTCTAAGGAAGGTGCTCTGCTGGGAGGTTGAGTAGAAGAAAATGAAATGAGAACTCAAAAGTATCCCAAGTACCACCAGTTCTGAGTATAAAGAAAAAAAACAACAAGATTAGGACAAGTACCTCTGGCCAGTCTTTATCCTTTAACTGCAAAGAAAAGCAATCTTTACAAAATGATAAAGCCATCCAAGAATGGCTGCGGTGGTTTCTTTTAAATGAACCAGAGAGAACAGATGGTCTCCTCTCATACTGTCAGAAAGGTCAAAATTAGCCACCCCTAAGACTAGCAGGTTCTTGAAATGCTCAAGTGCTTGTGTCTGGTCGTTATGACTAATCCACTCTCCAGAACAAGAAAGGGCAAATGAAGAACACCCCTCCAAATACTGCAACAACTCCAGCCATGGCTGATGTGTAATGCACTTGGACATGGTGTCAACAGCTGCTCTTAAAACCCAATGAGTCAGCCTTTCAAAAGAGCTTGTCAGCTCTCACTGTTAAAGCTTTCGTACAGATTATATTTACTCCCCAATGTTTAAAAATATCCTTCTTAAACCTTGAAAACATAAAATGTTTTCCTTACAGAATTTGTCCTTTTCCCCCCAGACAGATGCCCAAGGATCTCTCACGTATTTATTTGGGAGCAAAGCTTCCTACCTCTTCTTTCTCTTTCCTCTTCACGTGCTGACGGCTAAACCTAAGGCAGGCCTCTGTTTCTGAAGTCATGTACAAATGAAGAATTTCTGGCCCCTTTCACAACTTTTGCCCGCAAACCGCAGTCAGCCTTCCAGAATACTGTGAGGTTAAGCGTTCTGCTCAACAGACAGGGTACAGAGACACCGGGTGACTTGCCTTTGGTGCTACAAGAGGCACGCAGGCACAAATCCCCTACCCATCCCCTATTCTAATCACCAATCTCCCTCGGATGCTGTCATTTAAATAAAAAGGCCTATTGGAAATGACAGGTGAAGAAAGCAGTCCAGGCATGAAATGCACTCTATATTAATAGAAGGTTGCCAGACAAAACGGCACAAGGCATTTGATCGCATCATCTTAGGCTTGTTGTTCATGCTCCTTTGCATCTGGCTGCGTGATTTCTGCCAGATTCTCGGCTGGAGGAGCAGGCTAGGATTTGCCTGCTTTCCCTAACCCGTGCCGGGCTCAGCTGCAATCACGCAGAGCACTGAAAGAAATCCCTTTGAGTCGGGATTCATTCCGAACATGTAAAACCCAGACAAATGACTGCTTCTCCAAAGTGAATCCCATTTCACAGCAAGTAGGTTATTAGTGTGGAACTCCATACAAGTAGCCTGCATTCAAAAACCCTCTGCATTATTAATAGAAGATGAGCTTTTGACATCAAAGGAGAACCATTATGCATGCTAAACGGTGGCAAAAATTGTACCCGCACTTCAAACCTTTTCAGTTCTTTGTCCCTTGTAAATCAATCAAGGTTGACAGATGCTTTAAGGAGAGTAATCTTTTCAATGATACTGTCAATGGATAACATAATGGAACATTGTCTCTGTGCTGTGTGAAGACATGGAGCTAGTCAATTATGGACAACACTTCATGCAGCCGCCAGTTTTCACTTGAAGTGCTGCTGTTGAAGTATTATAATCCCAACAAATGGCCGCAGCAGCATACAATGTAAATGAGACCTCCTGAAGCTTTGGAAAATTAATTAGTAACAACAGCGGTCCATTCCCACACTTTCAAACACCAGCCTGGTAATGTTAACGATGCACTTCCCCCTTTCCCTTTGAGCAGTCAATAGGGCATATTTACATACACTATTTTTAATCTTCAACACTTTTTTTCTTTTTCCCCTCCTTTAAATGCAGGAAGCTCTGGATTCTTTTCCTCTCTTTCAAGCAGCAAACTTCACTCCTAATATTTCCAACCAGGGACATAACCCAAATGGCTGGAGCTGAAAACAAGAGAAAAGAGACTTTCCCACTTGGAGACAGCAGTAATATTCACTCCTCTTGCTTCATACACGTTGGACACTTTGTGGCTGTCTCCTTTTCCAACATTTGTATCCCCTCAGCTGCCCTGAGAAGAATGGCTTGGATGGATGGCAGGGGAAAAGCTTCTGGTCTCAAGAGACCAGCAGGATGTGAGTTGAAAGCCCAGTGTACTGAGTGCCAGCAGCACCTAGGTTGAACTGTGGTGCACTGGATGCCAACATATATATCCAGTTGCCAGCTTCTATAGAAAGGAGATTGAGAGTCAAAGGGGAGAGACTGCACTGTTTATTTAGCTATTGGCTTCTATTTCCTACGTCATTTTCTCAAAGATTTCCCCTTTGTCAACCGAGGGTTGTGCTAAGAGGAACACTTAATCTCCCACAGTAGCAGAGAGAAATCCTACACTTGAGCACAAAATTTCTAAACTCCTATCAATTGCGGGTTTTCATTGCTATGATCTGTGGATGCCCCCTTATCTATAATGTGTTTTTGAAATGACCAGGTGCAGATAAGAAACTCAATCACCGAGGTCTCCTTGGGCAAGAACAGGCTGTTCCTTGAACCCAACTCCCTCTTCCCCAGGCTCCAAAAGCTGGGAACAGATGCAGCTGCTGTCCCTCCTCATTTAGTATAGATTCGGTCTTCTGCACTCCGGACAGTTTTCTGAGAAGCCCTTGCAGTGATTGACTGCAGAAAGCTTCATGCTGTAGCAGTCCCCCGAACCTCCAAAACATGCAGACAATGGTTAAACAATACTGACAATGGTTAAACACTATGAGGCAAGAGATGAAGCAACAGCAGCCACACACCCTCCACACCCTCCCAAGCACTACCCGGCTAGCTGCCATGGCTGATCCCAAGAAGAAAGGGGAAATGTTTTATCTACTGGAGACCCCCCTCCTGGGAAGAGAAAAGACAGAGGAAAGGATATCTTCTGCCTCTCCTTAGAAAAGGGACTGATCCAAACATTTTCCTACTCACATAAAACAAACTACCATAGAATAGAAAAATGGACAGGATTCAGGAGGCTTAAATTCCTCCTTCCTTTTGCTGGAAGAGATCTGTCAAGAAAATAGTGGCGCAACTCCGTTTCTATACTCACTTCCCACTCAAACTCCACAGTGCAATATGCACAAACACAAGACAAAAAAATTCTCTACTGCATCTCGGTGAGAAAGCTTTAGGCTAGCATTCTTGCCATGATGAAAATGGCTTTTTTTCCAATTACGGTTTCTTTTGCTGTGCGGGACTCGTCTGCTTTTGTATCTGTTTTTAGATTTTGTTTCTCTAGAGCTAAGCACATGGAATGATGCAGGGTCCCTATCCTCCTCCACCCACCGCCTCTGCCACAAGCTGGTTGGGATAGCACTGCAGTGGAAGCAGGTACCATGCCCCAGCTGTCCCCATCTTTGAGAGGAGACCCAGGTTTATCTCTCAGTACCAGGAAAAATGAAGCGTAAGCAAAAAGAGGACAGCAGAGACTGGGAAAAAGTATGGTGGGTAACAGAGAGAGTTAAGAACACAGCAAACATAAAAGCAGGGACCATACTGTAGGTTGTTCTGCTTCTTCTCTGCTTGGTGCAGGACTGCAAAGTCATTTTTAATTGAGCCTGTTCCTATTATATAGCTGCCAAATGTCACCCACTGCCTTCCCTCCTCATGGCTGGAAGTTTCCACTACCTTGGCTGAGATGCACTTCTAAAAAGTTCTTATCCCAGTCAAAGCAAAATGGGACAGCAAACAACTGTTACTTCAAAGAATGTCCACTTAAGCAAACCGAGAGTGCATAGTGAAAGACAGGAAGGGACAGCTGTGCAGAAGTAGCTTAGCTGGCCGCTCCACTGGTGTGCAAGGTGGGCCAGGAGAAGGAAACAAGCAGTTGCAGGCAGGGTCAGGTGTTGTGTATTCTACTTGCACAGTTTTCAAGGAAAACTGATGCACAAAAGAGGCTGTGGAAGGGGCCAGCATGTCATACTTGGACACAAAGCTGCAACACATTGAACCAGAGTCTTAAATCTACTGACTGCTGCAGAGCTACTGCGACCAGTGTGTGCTAAGGACCTGTTCTACTCTATTTGAAACTTGCTTTAAAACATATGCCCTTTTCCAGCTCACTCACAGGAGTTTACCATTTATTTCCAAGTTCCAGAGATACCTACGCACATACTTTCTTCCAAGTTATGAGACGTATTGAGCAATTGCAGGTTTTCTTGCAGAACAGTTTTCCATGGTAATATCAAAGAATTTCAAAAGCATACATTGCCTTTGTCACAAATTTAGACAGAAAATTATCTAACCTTTTCTTTCAAGTTTAGTTTTACTTCTATTTGCTATTATATTATTATCTAAAGTTTATAAGTAAAAAAAAATAAATCCAATATATTATAATATAAACAATGAAACAATAAAGCTGATGCAGTTGATCAAAAGAGAGAAGATCTGATAAAAACTAAGTGTTCCAATAATTCAGAACCAAAGGTTATAATATGGAAGATGAAGAACCTGCTTTTGTTCATGTGCCTAATGACAACACATCAGATCACAACTTGCCACTTTTGGATAAGGTAAGTATAAGAGGGAAGATGGTAGCTAATAATGACAAAAATTTTAAGTAGCCTTCTGTTCATATTAAAATAAAATTCACACAATCCAATTAAGTCAGAGATTTAGCATTAAAAAATAAATTAGGAAAAAAATTAATTAAGAGAAACATTGCTTACATAAGAGAAGTCTTCAGCATTCTGACAGAGTAGCTTGGGAAAAACAGCCTGCCGCTGAAATCTTTCCTCGTCTTCAAAGATGTTCCCATACATGAAGCCATTCATCATGGTGGAGTGGGCATGGATGTCAATATAGAACTCCAGGTTAATCTTCTGTTGAGGGAAAACAACAGCAACAAAAAAAACATTCAGCATGAGATAAATCATAACTGTGTTATGTATGTGAAGCCTCCCATAAATCCAATACTGCCCTCCTTGAATCTAACCACGGTGCCAGTGCCAGAGAGCCATGCTAAAGACATTGCTTTGAAGCTTCCAGCCATTTATGCCTCCCTGTGGGTGCACGTGAGGTGCAACACAGGACCATGACAGACATTTCTTTACCTGTTCTGAGAAGGCTGAAACATTTATGCAGCACAGGACACTGTGCAAAATAGACACAAAGCATTGACCTTCACGTTGATATAGGGCTTAGCACCACTGACAAAAGTATGCACCTTCCAGTTCCAGAGCATGATTGTTTGGACGTAACTTTGCTACCTCTGCACAGTTCTACATAACAATATGCAGATGTACCCTTCTGCCAGGAAAGACAGGCTAAAAATTGTGTAAAAAAGACTTCAGTATTTTCTGTGTAGTTTATTTTGGTTTATAAGGTACCGCAAGTACATCCCTAGAGGTGTTCAAGGCCAGGCTGGATGGGGCTTTGAGCAACCTGGTCTAGCGGGAGATATCCCTGCCCACAGCAGATGATCTTTAAGGTCCCTTCCAACCTAAACCATTCCATGGTTCTATGATGAAATGTTTTTGTTACTCTACTTTGTAGTAGTAATTCAACAGAACAACTCCCCAGAACAAGTGCCCTGAACGTCTCTCCACTTGGAGCTTTCCAAGTAATTCTGCATCAACTCTTGCTTCAAAAGAAAGCACCAGGACCACCTAACACAGAAGCTGCTGCTCTCCCCACTCCCCCCATACCCTTCCTGGATTGGCAATTCAGTGTCAGAAGGCTCTGTAAGAAAAATCTGCTCAAGTCTCCAGCCCAGGGACACATCTTTTCATCACAGAATATACAAGTGATACTACTTCCCCTGCCATCAGCAGCAAAGAATGAATGTTCACCTTGATCACCACCTACAGTGCCACTGACAGTAGTGAGAAGGCAACATCCAGTACTAAAAAGTGCTACCAGAGCGCACACCGCTGTCTTACCCAGAGTTTCCCCAAACTCTTGCAACTTCTGGTTCGGAACAAATGGTGCTCTGTGACCAGCCAGTGATAAACCCACCCCTGTCACCTGGCCACCATGGGGTCAGTAAGAACCTTCCTGGTGACCAGAGGGTTATGGTTCAGATCTCTCTGCCCCAACAGGGGGATGGAGAAGAGCTCTGTTAGAAGGACAAGGAATACGATGCTTAGCCCTGTACCACTCAGTGGCAAATGCGGGCCTTGGCCACTGAAATACAACATGTAGTTCTCCAGCCGCATGTCTTGTCTGCACACAAAGCTTGCTCAGGCTACTGGAGAATACTGAGCTACAAGATGGTCCAACGTAATACAAACACAGTTTGTATTATGCAGTTCATGCGACCGCAGTGTCAGCTCTTCTAGAGAGTCTCTGATGGGGGGAGAACATCATTTGGTATGTGAAACTAATGTGATACAGATTTACTTTCCCTTGGCAGAAAACCAATGTACAATACACAGTGACTGTTTAGTTTAATTAAACAGCCTAGAGAGAGTAATACTGAATCTTATTAAGCCTCTCCTATGTTAAAATGTTAGCTAATGCAATATCAATATCTGACCATGCTTCATAGGAAAAGGAATATTTGATTGTATATGACTCTAATACAATAAATTGTTTGCTCCTGCCAAAACATTACTCTGTGCTATAGAAGACCAGCACTGCAATAAAGCACAATAAAGCACCCATCTGCTATTCGGAGATATAGCACTGAGGAGAAAGATTAGCATTGACAGGATGAAATACCACATAGGATTTTCTTCATCTCCAAGCATACAGAAATTAAAACCAAGATTGAGTAATATTATTTTTCATAAGATAATTTCCCCAGCAGAAACAGAATTTGATGAGATCAGATGCACAGTGGCATATCACCATAAGACAGAACACGTAGAGTCTCAGAACAGTGATTGGATGGTGAAGTGAGGAAATAATCTAGTTAAACTGGATATTTGTAAAGCATGAACGTCCTTCACATACAAGTCAGTGACCTAAGTCACACTTATTTTAGAACAACTAGACAGAATTCTTTATAGGGACATATTTACTAATATAAAGTAATTGTGAAGCACAGTGAGATATATAACAATAGACTAGTATCATTTGTGTCCTAACACAAAGTGTCTGGCATAAACTGTACGACTTGTGCCACGTCATACTATACTTATTCATCCATAGTTATCAAATTGTTTCCAAAAGAAGGTGTCTACAAACAGGGACAGAGGCACAGATTACTAAGATAACTTTCCTTAGGCTGTCCAGCAAGAAAGTCACCTGCAGAACATGGGTCACCTGAGCCTCAGCTTAGTATTCAATCAATCAAGTCATCCAGCGTAACACGGTATTACTGGAAAATATTTTCTAAACTCTCCTAGGATTCTCGCTAAAAAAATTGCTGGTAGAAGTGTTCCAGAGAATTTTAGACAATCTCTTGGGATTTTTCTTGATCATCAAAACCATTTTCAAATAGTCTGGTTACAATGGTTATTTCTGAGGAAACAGTGTCCTTTACGGACATCGCCTTCACCTAAAAAACTTCCAGATCGCTTATTTGAAAGCCATGACATTCAACAGATAGCTTATCACCCAGAGAAGTGTTTAAAAACATCAAAAGTAATTTCCTAAGTCGGCCCACAGTAACTATTAAACTGTTTTTTTCTGGTCTTTATTCCTTACTGTCCTACTGAATATACAAAAAACTCTATTTCACATATTCCTACCCACTAAATATAGTCCAAATTTGCAGCTGTCCATCCTACCCAGTCAGTTGTTAAACATTGCTAGAGTAATTGCCAGTTAGATGTACTACTCCCAGATACTGCTGAATGTGAATGGAACAGTATTTCAGTGTTTCACATGTATTTTCTTCTCATCACATTCATTATTTTATCAAAGGGAAACATCTTGAACATTCTCCATTACAGAAGAAAATAATTCAGTGCATTGTTAATATAACACATGAGTTTCTAATGAAAAATTCTCTTTATTCACAGACACACAGATATTGTGACCTTAAAATGGACAATAACAGCCCAGTCACTGGGACGTTAAAGTTTGCTACCTCGTGCCCCAGCTAGTAGACCAAGTAGTAGAAAATTTGTTTGCAGACTAGACTAAAGGATCAAGATATGTTCCTGAACAATAATGGTATTTCTTCTCTCTCTTTAGAGTCATACATATTCATAAGTACTTTACATGTAGGAGCTGTTTCACCCACTGCCACACTACAAATTTAAGCTAGGGAATAAAGTTTCATATTTCAGTTGAGGTTCTCTGGAAGATTTTGACATAATTACTGATCTGCAATTTAGGCAGGATCACAGAATTAACATTTTATTAAATATATAATGTCACCTACTGATGGGAATTTCAGAAAAATCAGCAGGGAGATGACCTTCTGAAATTGTTTCTCTTTGAGATAGGGAGAATTTTAATGGGAGAATGAGGTTAATAAACGTATGTGTGCATTTCCATGAGCACATGCAAACACACTTAAAACATAAACCAATCCTACCTGCTGTTAAACCACAGGGGTATCTGTCAGTATCTACAGAGCAGAACCCACCTCGGTTAGGGCTTCTCATGCAGTAGTATTTACAGGTAAGAATGGAAATAAATTTAGAGGTGGTTCAAATTTTCACAGTCACATTTGCTTCAGCCTTTAAGCAGAAAATAGTGACTAACCAGGGCTCAAACATCTCTGGATGCCATAGCTGCCTTCTGAGAGACTTGCAAGTCACATCCTACAATATGATATTAAACTCATCATTTTCTGCTTTAGAGGTGGAATGCAAAATGATCCAGATGCCTTATAAAAATCATCATGCAATTTAATTCCCTCAAGTGTCTTTTCTTTGTGCTTACAAGCAGCAACAGAGATTTTCTCTCTCGCACTCTCTTTCTTAAGTAAAGCTGTAATTACCTGGATGGCCCAGCTTACAGAGCTGGAGAAAACAAAGGCAGACTTGGTCTTTCTTTTCTCTGTGTGTCAAAACAGAAAGCGTTCACTAGACTGACAGAGACTATGATTGAACCCCATTTCTTAGAAAACAACAGTTAACATTCTTTCCCTTGAAAAGAATGGTCTTTGCCTCTTCTTGCCACTTACCACATAAAACCAGAATAAATAAATAAGCAAACAAATTTCTCCTCTAAAGTTCATTTGAATCCCCGCCTTTGTGACACACACTTTCCACTGTTCTCCTGAGTCAGTCTAAAGTTTCTGGCAGCTTGAGAAATATACATATAAATTAGGGAGGGGGGAAAATGAAAGAAATCGGGGATAAAGAATAAGAGCTCACATGCATTGTCAAGATATGAAATAGTCAAAGTAGCACAGAAACTGGTTCACATTGCCATGTAAAGTTTTGAGAAAATGAGTTCTCGCTTGTCTGCATTTTTATTTCATTAGCTGAATGCCTTTGGAAGGTCAGTAGTTAAAGAGCAAAAGGATAGAAGATGTTAATAGCTAGTGCTGATGTGACCAAAGTTAGATTTTGAACACTGCAATTATGATTCTTAAGGAAACAGAGACCAAATAAATAAATAAATAGATAGAAATCAATAAATGCTGTAATAAAAGGATAAATGTGCATTGAGCCCAGAACATGAGCCACTAGAGAAACAAGTGATGCAGGAAGAAGCCAGCTCTGTCCACCAGCTGTCACTTCAATATGGATTTTATTAATTCTTGGGCATAGCAATTGGTTTAGAGAGAGAGCGTCCAAAAGCCTTCTTCACTCCCATATTTCATACAGGGGATGGGATAAACTCCTTGCAATGTTTTATACAAGCGGCTAAAACCGTGACTGGTCATTAGTGGTAGAGAACATAACAGCCTCCCGGCAGACTTTGCACTCTCACTGCTAAGCCACAGTTTGAAGCAAATGGACATACAACAGTTGGC